CTCTTTCTTTGACTTTCTCTAATTTTATCCTACAATTAATAGCTCCTACATCTTATAAGTATAAAACAGGACACAACACTATCACATCCTTAACTTAATACCTCCACCGATCTATTCTGACTATAGTATTTAATTAATATTATGAAACTAAAGAATTTAATTTGCCCAAATCAAATATAATGATCAGATGGTTTACTTTTCCACAGATAACTATTGCTGGAAATTCGATTGATCCAGAGACGTAATGTTACACGGCATTGACTGGCATTAAGAATAAAAGAAAAGAGGACGAAAGAAAGGGACTAACATGGTTCTTAATTAGAATATGCATGGTAAATTGGTAATAGTACCTAGCCGCACATGGGGACATATGAAAAATTTGAATTGTATGTCACTTAAAGTAAAGCTTTATACATTTTTTTTTTTTTACAAATAATAAAGATAAGAAAAGAAGAATGTGAAATAACATGTGGAATATATAATGGGGGGAGAGAGAGATAAAATGCTGTATAATTTTAATTATTAGATGAATATACATTCTCATTTCCATGACGTGTGTACATACGGTTCATTTTGAAATAGTTCCGTCCGTTCTTGTACAAAGCCGACACTCAATTATTGAATGCTATGCATTGTGCAAATAAAACTATTTCAGTTTGTCGATCGCACGCGTCCAGAAAATTTCCATGTGACCAATTAAAGAAGGCATTAAGGAAATGATTTATATATAGAATACCCTCTGTTACTGATAATTAATTATATACATATAATAATAATTATGATTGGACATGCAGGTCCAGGAAATGATTAAAAAGTGTGATTTTCGTGAAGATAAATAAGGGCATAGCTAAGTTTTACGGTGGAAGAAGAAAAAAACAATCGTCTGGAAATAGTTTGTTAGTCAATTTACCTGCAAAAGCTGCAGTACACTTGATGCTGGTGTTTCAAGAACACGTATACCATCATTTCAAAAATAGCACGCTGCATGCTTAAGAAAATTATTAATTGAAAGCTAGAGATAAAAGAGATGAAAACACTTTTGAGCCAGTTGGTGGAGATGAAGTTGCACTCGCTACCGTTCTAACTTATCTAATTATGTCTCTTCTTGAAAATATATATATTCCTCTATATTAATTCATGTATTTGAATTATGGCATGTCAAAACCTGAAAGTAATCTTTTCTTAAAATCAACCAAAACCAAACATATCCATAAACAGTTTAAATTATATATTAAAGTGATACATAAATACCATGTTACTTTTGGGAAACTGAGAAAATGTAGAAGCTTAATATTTCTAACGTATAGTTTTATACTTTTATCTGCATGGTGGCCCCACGAACATTGTCAAATGGCAAAATAAGGGATTGCACACATGATTATTATCAAAAGTTGCAATGGCTGCTGCAATTACTCGAACAAATCAAATTCGCACGACCCTCTCATGGATTTCCTCGGAACAATATAATAGAAAACAGGTAGAAATGAAAAAGGATGAAAAAAGCATGCATGTATTTTGAAATTTCTTAGTCAAGAGAGGCAACTGAGCAGCTGGTAGCATTATTTGCGAACCTTTTGCTTTATTATTGTGTAGAGTAGACGCTGATTTATATTTAAGAGTTGTTAGAATTTCAATTAAAAAAGATGAGTTAGTTGGAATGGAGCCATTTGGAGAAATATAACAAAATGGAATTAACATATAGTACATATAAAAAAAAAAGTCATCAGGCCAGCTGGGAAGCTTCATTTAACGCATTAAAATTAAAATGGTATCAACTAGACATAAGAATTGGTCCCTCGTTACAGCTTCCACTCTGTGTAATGGTTCCACTATAAATATGCATTTGATACAGCTTTCTTAGTCATCACTAAATCAACAAGGATATTTGATCATAAACATTGAGGGTCCTTCTACTCATGACCGCCGGTAGCTGTGACCCTAGAAAGGGTCTTCTTAGGCCACAAATGGCCATCGCATTGGCCATTGTCTTGGTTTCCTTGAATGTAGCAGCTGTGGCAGGTGATGCTTACACTTACTCTTCACCACCTCCTCCTTCTCCTTCACCACCACCACCATATGAGCACAAGGATCCTTATTATCAATACAAGTCTCCACCTCCACCCTCTCCATCCCCTCCACCACCTTATGAGTACAAGTCTCCACCACCACCCTCTCCTTCACCTCCACCACCATACTACTACAAATCTCCACCACCACCCTCTCCCTCACCCCCACCACCATACTACTACAAATCCCCACCACCACCCTCTCCCTCACCTCCTCCACCATATTACTACAAATCTCCTCCACCACCTTCTCCCTCACCTCCACCTCCATACTACTACAAGTCTCCCCCCCCACCTGATCCCTCACCGCCACCACCATACTATTACAAGTCCCCACCACCACCTTCACCCTCGCCGCCGCCACCATACTACTATAAATCTCCACCACCACCCTCTCCCTCACCCCCACCACCATACTACTACAAATCTCCACCAGGACCCTCTCCTTCACCCCCACCACCCTACTACTACAAATCTCCACCACCACCCTCTCCTTCACCTCCACCTCCTTACTACTACAAGTCTCCCCCACCACCCTCTCCCTCACCTCCACCTCCATACTACTACAAATCTCCCCCACCACCTGATCCCTCACCACCACCTCCTTACTACTACAAGTCCCCACCACCACCTTCACCCTCACCACCTCCACCATATTACTACAAGTCTCCACCACCACCTTCACCATCACCACCACCACCATACTATTACAAGTCTCCTCCCCCACCTGAAAAGTCTCCAGCTCCAAAGCCCTACTACTACAAATCTCCTCCTCCTCCATCTCCCTCACCCCTTCCTCCTTATTACTACAAGTCCCCACCACCTCCTTCACCATCTCCATCTCCAAAGCCTTACTACTACAAATCTCCACCACCTCCTTCACCATCTCCTCCCCATGTACCTTACTACTATAAATCTCCACCTCCACCGTCTCCTAAGCCTCAACCACCCTATTATTATACCTCTCCTCCTCCACCGGTAGTGTATACTCCATACCCACACCCTCACCCTCACCCATATCACCACCCATTGATCGTTAAGGTTGTGGGCAAAGTGTATTGCTACAGATGCTATGACTGGAAATACCCCGAAAAATCACACAACAAGAAACACCTCAAAGGTATGGACAGACAATACATTCACTTTTTTATTATTATTATTATTTCATTATGATACATGGACAATAACAATATCATTTCCGATTCAAACGTTTTATGTTTCAGTAATATTTAACTGCATTTATTTTTTCTTCAATATTTATCTGGAGACGTGAACTACCCTTTTCTATGTTACTTTCATTAATTGTTCCTCGTCTGGCTCATATGTTTTTTGTTTGTATAATTCTGTCAATATCGTCATGTGCGTGTCGTTGTGTCCTATGGAATTTCAACTAGATTTTTATATATAACTGTTATTTTTAATCCAGATACAATATTCTTATTAGAATATTTTATGTATATTTTTCTATTATTCTGTTATTATATATATCACTTGTTTTATTCAATATTTCTCTCTCTTCGGTATAGTATTATTTAGTCAACAAATTTTATAATTATTATTTTAATTTAAAAATGAACGTGTTTGTAGTTTAAGAAATATTTAACTATATCATTTTCAGAATCTTGATCTATGCCAACTAAAGCAAATGATAACCTACACATATAATACATATTAAAGTACGTACCATTAATGCCTATTTAAAATTGAAAATCGATCAGTTTTATGTAAATAATTTTAGTTGCCATTTCAATATAAGTACAAATTGTTGTTAAAAAATATTTTTTCATCATAATCAGATTTTTCTTATATAATCAAAAGCCAATCAATGTGACAAGGGTAGCTTCTACATGTTAATTAATTTTTTGTTATCTAAACATTAAATAAAACATTAATTAATTTTAGTTTTCTTTTATTTTTTTTAAACAAAGTAATGTTACCTAGTGTAAACTAAAAGATAAACATTTTACACGGGTGATTCACACATTTTACATAATCGTTAGGTGCCACGGTCGAAGTGACATGTGATGTTGGGAGCAAGACCATAAAGGCTTATGGTAAAACTAAGAGCAATGGAAAGTACAGCATCAGTGTTGAAGGCTTTGACTATGTCAAATATGGAGCCACAGTCTGCAAGGCCAAACTCCATGCTCCTCCCAAGGACTCACCATGCAACATACCCACCAAGTTGAATGAGGGAACCGAGTTGAAGGTTAAGTCCAAGGATAAGTATGAAGTTGTATTGAAGGCTAAGCCATTTGCTTATGCTCCCGAAAAGCCTTACGATTGTAAAAAGCCGAAGCCTTCACCTACTCCTTATCACAAACCATACTATTACAACTCTCCCCCACCACCTTCACCCGCACCATACTACCCACCTTATTACTACAAAAGTCCTCCTCCACCATCACCCTCTCCTCCTCCTCCCTATTACTACAAGAGCCCACCACCACCATCACCATCCCCACCTCCACCCTACTATTACAAATCCCCTCCCCCTCCTCCCAAAGAACCATATCATCCTCCTTACTACTACAAGAGTCCCCCTCCACCTTCACCTTCCCCTCCTCCTCCATATTACTACAAATCTCCTCCACCACCTAAAGAAATATCACACCCTCCATACTACTACAAATCACCACCCCCACCATCACCTTCTCCTCCTCCTCCATACTATTACAAATCACCACCACCACCATCACCATCTCCACCTCCACCTTACTATTATCAATCTCCCCCTCCACCTAAGAAATTGCCAGAACCACACCATCCTTATTACTATAAGTCTCCACCTCCACCATCCCCATCACCACCACCTCCCTACTACTACAAATCACCTCCCCCACCATCTCCCTCACCACCACCACCCTACTACTACAAGTCACCTCCACCACCATCCCCATCACCACCACCTCCCTACTACTACAAGTCACCTCCTCCACCATCCCCATCACCACCACTTCCCTACTACTACAAGTCACCTCCTCCACCATCTCCATCACCACCACCTCCCTACTACTACAAGTCTCCTCCACCACCAGATCCATCACCACCACCTCCCTACTACTACAAGTCTCCTCCACCACCATCCCCATCACCGCCACCTCCTTACTACTACAAGTCTCCACCACCACCATCCCCATCACCTCCACCTCCCTACTATTACAAGTCACCTCCTCCGCCATCCCCATCACCACCACCTCCCTACTACTACAAGTCTCCTCCTCCACCATCTCCATCACCACCTCCTCCATACTATTACAAGTCTCCCCCACCACCAGATCCATCACCACCACCTCCATACTACTACAAGTCACCACCACCACCATCTCCATCACCGCCACCTCCATATTACTACAAGTCACCCCCACCACCATCTCCATCACCGCCACCTCCTTACTATTACAAGTCACCCCCACCACCATCTCCATCACCGCCACCACCCTACTACTACAAGTCACCTCCACCTCCATCACCTTCTCCACCACCTCCTTATTATTACAAGAGTCCTCCTCCACCATCTCCCACTCCTCATCCTCCCTATTACTACAAATCTCCTCCACCACCAACCAAGTCTCCTCCACCACCGGTTTACATCTATGCTTCCCCTCCACCTCCCATCTACAAGTAAGCTTTGAATTATGCAGAAGCACCAACCACGACAAGTCATGTAAGTTATTGATCAATAGATTAATATTTTTCGATGCACATTTATAAATTCTGAAAGTATTGAAAACTTTTATTTTATTTCAGGTTTTAGTATTCGTTGTGGAATAAAGTCAAGTTCCAGTTGGAGCAGAGTTAAGCATCTAATTTGTTATACAAGTTCTTTGAATAAGAGTCTGAATGTATCGTCTCTAAGTTACAATCTGCATGACTCGAATGAGGTTTCTTCTATTTATTTGGTGGCCATCTTCCACATCCTATGCTTACTAAGTTCAAGTGAGCGACAAATGAAAACAAGGGAGCAAGATTTGAAATGTTGATGCCAATGCAGGATGCTTTTAGAGATCTCTTCTATTTGTTTCTTTGTAGATTAATATATTCGATCATGTATGATTGCATTCAAATTATTGTGAAATTCTTTTAATTATATCTTCTTGTATTGTTTGCCATGAAATTGTCAATATTTTGACGTAAAAACAATGCACAATAATTTGCATATCCCCTAAATCTAATTCGTGTTTATACTCCAAATAAAGCACATATACACTACTTACTGCAATTTCAAGTGTCTCCACGTGAAAACGTATATAGAAATACTTTCAAACTAACTTCAAATAACTTGTGTTTAATTAAAAATGTAAAAAATAAATATTGTTAATGAATCTATAAATAAATAAATTAAAAAAGAGTCATTTGTTAATATTTTTACTAATAAAAATATCATTTTAAATTTAATTAATATTTTAATTGACTCAATTTATCACTATTAATAATGATTTCATTGATGGTCTTGAGAGACAAAAATAAACTTTTTTTCAATTATAAGAACAAAAATATCAAATTTAAGTGACTAATAATAAATATAATTAAAATTTAAAAGATTGGAAATATATTTAAACTTTTATGAAATTAAAAATAGATAATTATGTTAATGTAATTATTTCATTCTTTAAAATTAAATTTATACAAATATATAAATAAGTATATATATATATATATATATAGAATTCACAATGAGTGTTTCTTTGTATGCATATGTCTTTGTTACTTTTTTTCTTGAAGTTTG